CTTTACACGGGAGTATAGATTTCGCATGAATGAAAGGTCGGTAGTCAGCATTATCGTCTGTTTTGTGCACTTTGATGGTATCTTTCGAATCCTAGGCAGTGAATTCAAAGCCATCATGTAATGAAATCTCGTCAAGATACTTTTGAGCTCAAGCTTTGGTTGTATTGATAAGCATCTTTAAATAGCGAAAGAATATGAATAGCCAAGAAGAAATTGCACAATTAAGATCCTGATATGCATGCTTAGAGTTATATGATGTTTCCTTCAACCAGGCTTAAGGTATTACATTCTTGTGTTAATAACTATGATATAATGTTCATCGTATTTTGTCTTCCATGGTTGGTAGAAAGTCTCGGCACCCCACTCATTACTACTTATTTCATGTTGCAGTTTGAAATCAGTTGATTATTTCCTAAGGTTGACATTGTGTGGGTGACTGCCCTTTTGGTCGATATATTATGCTTCTTCCAGAGAATGCTACGTGGCATCTAGAATAGCGTGTTCGAAGTATTTCTGGTGAAATGAAAGCCTGGAACTGGTGCATGAGACCACTTCAGCAGGTTGAGACAGCAGTTCTGCCCATCATTCGCCAATGATATCTGTCCGTGACCAAAACATCACAAAGTATCTCGCATTTGTCAATCCGTTGGACCAGCTGACAGTTCATGAGGTCAATAGTTCACTAGGATTGGCGCCCCAAGTAAACTGTGGAAAAACTCTTAAGACCAGAGAAGATTGGGGGTGGTCGATTGCACTAATGGCGCATTCACAACGCAGACAAGTCAGACGAATGGTTCAGTGTACGACTGTATTTCAAATATCTGAAGTAAATTTCTGCTCTTATAATCAGGCTTTGAAATTCTGTTTCAGGCCCACCCTTCTATTTTGCAATTTAAACGCTTTCTGCTTCTATTGTTTGATCGATCTCAATGTTCGATCTTTCCTTTTAACCTTTATATGCTGAAAGATTTTATTGGTGTGTAATTTGGAATACATGCCTCTGTATGAATCACTAATTTGAGATAAATTTTATACACAGCCATTTATCAGGTTTCTACTAGATCTGCAGTTCTTTTCACTTAATCGAAAATGCACTGCACACTTTCATGGTGGCAGTAGTTCCATAGTCCGACCATACGTTCTTATCTTGCCGCAAAGTAGATCACAAATTGATCTTTTGACGGCTTTGAACATGATGTGGCTTCAGATACTAGTGTTCTTGAGGGAAACTTGATTTTGTCTAGTTCTCATTTCTTCCTTATGACGGATATTCCTTCTTCATCCCTTCATCAAGAAAGGAAAGAGCGTAAGGTATTTCAACTTCAAAACTAAACTTCATAATCGCGCGATGGCATGGAGAATATCTCAGAGTTATTGAATTAATAATACACGCAATGCTGTCTTGTTCATTGAATATTGCGCTAATATGATAGAGTTGTTACATTGTTTATTAGGTTCCATCTGCTGTGTACGTGATCTGTTGACTGTATATAGTTACGGTTTACTGTGGATACTAAAATCTGACGTATAAGCGACTGGAGCGGTGCGCTGACAGTCGTTTTGCCGTGTCGTCATTAAATAACCGAACTGCCTTAATCGTTGAACCTAATCAGCCATTAGAAGATTGAGTTGTCAGGAGGCCAGTGGAAGAAGTTCTTGTCCACTTATACTCGTAGCAGCTGCAAATATTCACAACGCAATTGCGCATCCAGTGGGAGATTATTGGAGAGATAAATGAAACAATTTTGGCACCTCCACTGATTTTTAAACGATATTGTTTCGCCCTGTCTACAAGTAATATTTCGTTGATGCAACTGTTCTTTTACTGATCGTCAGCGCGCTACTGATGATGGCTGAAGGGGAAAGAGTTACATATTCAAATGAATGGAGGATGCCTACGAAAATTAAAGCAAAATTCGTTAAGTGTTCAGTAGGATAGAATTCCTACATATTGTGCAGGTGTTAGAATTTCATAGAATGTTTTTTTAATTTCTTGAATTTTTTGCCCTGTGGCATGATGTGCATTACAAGGTAATCGCTCATTTTCTAGTAATAAACTGATATATGGTACGGGTTTAAAAATTTAACTCTGTACAATGTCGGACTTTGAAAGTTTCGCTTTCTTCAATTTTCTTATATTTCAAAATCAGTGTTCGAATGAGAGTTCTGATGTACAGTCGCTGCTTCTTCAGGCGTTGAGAAGTCACAGCTGCGTGGTTTAGGCATGTGTTTCAAATGCCTCCATAAAGGAAGGCGAAGCGAATATTTCTTGCCCAACCGACCGACAGCAGACCCAGGGGACGGCCCAGATTAACCTGTTGCTGCTATATGGAAGGAGACTGTTCCAGACTGCAACTGTCTTCTGCCGAAGTTCAGACTCTGGAACGCGATCGGAAACGTTGGAAATACTGTTTGACGCGTTTGCCTCCAAGACCCGAAAGGAGAAGGAATCATGATGAGTTATCGAAAGGAGCGTTTCAAGGCATTATTATTCGTGGTAATGTCAGTGGTAGAGATTAATTAAAATTGCGCATGGCTTCAAGGTCAGTTAAACAATGTATGAACCGTGAGATTCATGCGATTTCTAGTAGTTGAACAGTATCAGCGTTAGCGGCAGCAGCCGAATCTTCTCTACAGCGATTTCCAGGCGGATGATACTAACGTCTTTGTGTTGCCTATGCACACACCTATGTTGCTTTGTGCGCCGGGATATTTCCTGATCAGTGATCAAACGAGTCGTATTTGATAGCAAATGCTCCTAAGCACATACGATACTGAAAATACTCGTCAGTCTCAGAAACGTATGCCTAAATTCCAGTGGTACCCCTTCTGCTGTTTAAGATCTCGGTAAAAAGTGTGCACACAATGTAGGAGTGAAGAATACAAAACAATGGTGTCCGTTTGCATGCTTACGGTAGTGAAATGGTTGAATCACTTTATGGTTGTAGATGAATTTCGATATGTTGTTATTTCAGAACTGCCTCTAGCGTTTCATGGA